CCCCCACCCCCACCACCCCCGTCCCAGCCTGCATTTCAGATTCCAGGCTAATCAGAGGGGAGATTTAGGGCACGGACTTCTTTCCCTCCTTCCCGAATCTCTCCCACTACACTCAAGAATAGACTCACCCCCTTTTTTATGGGGCACACAAAGACACTACAATGCTTTCTATGTCCAAGAACTCTTTTAAAATTAAACACCCTCTTCCGGGTACAGGGGTAAGTAGTGGATCTGCCTGTTGTTTTGATGTGTGAATGGAGGTTGAGTAACTTTTTGCCAGCGATTTGGGGAAACTGGGGGAGGAGGGGGAATACGGCTATGAATGTATCTTCCGGTTTTCTACTGTAATATTCTCAAATGCAGCAGGGGATTAGATTGCTCGGTAAGATGCTTCTAGTATGAAGAGGATGATGTGTGAGGTCCGCTGCAAGGGTCTAACTGATACGCAATGGGTTAAGTATACAGTTGTTACACCTGGTGGTTGTGGTATGCATATGGGGAAGTTAATTCTATACTTTGTGCAAATTTAAGAATGTTTTAAAGTGGCACCTGTATTATCCAGGAGTTCTTCAAAAACAATGTGTACTGAAATCATTGGGATGCAAACTGTTAACTGTATCCCTGCCACAACGGCCACTAACATCAATGTGTTCCCTTGCACAACAGAACGGTTGGACAGGGGTAGAAAAACAGCAACGTTAGGTGTAATGACTGGATATCCATGGCATTATGTTGGGAAATAATTTCAATGTAGCCAACTGTTTGTTTTTGTCTTCTTTTAGAAGGTTTAGAATACTGCTGCAATTTCAAAGCACGTTTCTATAATTATTTTGGGTAAAGATCTGCAGGAGTTCCACGTCCAAACTCTTAAGTTGATTCACAGCACTGGTCTCCCTTTTTGTTTAAAGCAGTGATAATTTTAGAAATGGGTGTTTGTTTCTGTACGTTATGTACTTGGCCACGGAGCGTTTCAGCAGGGCAACTTTCCCGTTAATGATTCACAAACATTTAGGATGTTTTTTTCAAAAATCCTGCCACCTGGCTTTAATACTTCTTTGGCTTTTGAGCTGGTAGCTAGGAAACCCAGCCTCTTGGCCAGAGTGCTTCATTCCAGCGTCCCTGCTATGACCAGGCAGCTGATCTCAGGCTGCTTCTTTAGAACAGCCAAGGAGAGTAATAAGGCCAAATAAAATAGGTTAAAGTCTGTGATTCTAAAGTGCTTGTTTCAAAATGCTTGACATTTTGTCTAATTAATAGTTTGTGTATATTTTTCTGCTTCAATTGTCTTTGCTTTTCCAAGAAAGGTCTGGGGTTTTTTTTTTTTTTACTATTACATGAATTCTCTTTCTCTCTCCCTTCTGATATTCTTTGCATGATCGAGCAATGTTTTCCAAACTGAGGCAGAAGTATGCATGACGGAAGTCAGCCAGCCCAAGTGCTGTAACGGTCACTGGGGCTGAAGAAACATAATCAGTCTAAAGCTTATGAATAAAGGAGAACATCTGTAGCTCAGGGTTGACGTGAGGAGTCCTTGGTGAGCTTGCTTGTTATTTTAGACTGACAAACCTCAATCTCACGTTTAGAATGTAAAAGAAATGGTAGGACAGACATGTGCTTGGTTTTACTAGCACTGCCAGAGAAGGTAAAGGGGGAAATCAAAATACTGATCTCTTAAATTATACTTGGCCTTGAAACCTTGTGTTAGTGTAGTGGATAGAATACAGTCTTGTAAACTGCCAATATCTTGGGCAACCCCCTCCTTTACAATTATGAAAATAATATGCAAAATAATCCCTTGTCTCTTTTTCCACCAGCACTGAAAAGACAACAAGTATTGTCTGTTTCATCTCCGCTTGGGTCTTACTTTAAGAATATCCAAATATGTCTTACTAGTTCAGACTAAAGATCTTTGCTTCTAGGAAAGACAATTTGTGCTGCACTGGTGACCATCTTCATTTCTTTCCCTGCAGCCCAGGAATCCAAAGTCCCCCCACATGAACAGAAAGAGGAACGGAAATTGTCATACTCTCCAGTGCATTGCAGGTAGTGGGGGAAATGGGCCAATATGGGCATGCATGCACATGGATGTCAGTCTTGGGCTACATTTCTCAAGCATGCCGAGATTGCATGGAGAGGAAAAACCAGAGCTAGAAATGCTCTTAAAAACTGAGTCAGACTTTTTATAGCAAGGAGGACATGAAGGGTTATTACTGTACAATAGTTCATTTGAGGTCACACTGCTACATTACTTCTCATATATAAAATACATGATCCTTCATTACATACTTAATGCACGTAACTCATTAAATATTTCACATACTACCTTCAGATATCCTATGAAATGTCACTTAAAAATGAAAGACAAAATCCTTGTGGTCGTCCTTCAACTGTTAATGAACTGTTTATTTCAGGTGAATATATCCAAGAAGCAGCAGGTCATGTTAAAAAAAGCAGTTCTTCCCAAGATGGAGAAGGCCGTATTATTCCTGGCACACTTTATTGTACTAATCTAAGAGTGGCCTTCCTACCAGATTCCTCTCCAAACAATGAGGTGGGTTTGGCGATCGATTCATGGCTACTAGTAGCAATTCAGGTTAGGCCAAAAGCAGAGAGCAGCAAGTGAGCAACAAGAACGGAAATGTAGGAAGGAAAGATAGTTCGAAAGTGGTGCAGGCACGGAACTCAGAAGAGCAACACAGAATGCAGGAATTCTTGGGGCCTGATCAGTAACAGAATTTTAAACCTGCCTTCACAGAAGGAATATTTTCTGTTGTATTTCTGCTTTGGGTTTGAGTTACATTTCCATTCTAGATTCAGCCTACAGAATCAGTTGAAATCCAGTGTGAAAGGAACACTAAGAAAGAAATATAAAAAACCAATTAAAAGTTCTTTCTTTTCCTTCTAGAATGACCCTTGCTGTCTGTTTATGTGCAGTGATTATGAAGTGGCCCTACCATGTATTGGAAAACTGGTGGCTGGTAGGTTTAGAGGAAAAACACCTATTTAATCTTTGGGTTTATAATAGCCAACTATTTTGTTCTTAGATAATTTTGCTCAAGATGCAAGAAATCAATCAATGCTTCTTTTCCATTTCACAGAGATATATTCATGGAAATATTATTCAGCTTGAAATACCTCTTCAAATCTATAATATGGAATATTATTTTTCTGTTGCTCATCTGAAGAACAGAGACAGAATTAGAATGTAACTGTTGGGAAGGACTTCATCCAGTTGTAGACTTGTAAACTGCTCAAGGCAGGAAATTGTTATCTTATTGCTCTGTGAATTGACACTGCTCTTGGTTATTCTAATAAACAGTCTTTCCCTCACAACAGCCTTCCTTCTCCTAATAACATGATTTCTGTTCTCACTCAGTGAATAGTTTCACAAAAGCCAAGGTGCTGACGAGCACATCTACACTGAAGTTCATTCCTGAGGAACTGATCATTTACTGCCGAGATTTCCGGGTGCTAAGGTTCCAGTTCCACGAAAATGGCTTAGAACCTCAGGCCTTCCAGGTAAGTTGTGGAGGTGAATTCAACAGAAAGACATATAGTGAATGGTGAGTCTAAACACAGTCCTTCTGCCAAAAGATATTCTCACTCCGCATCCAGAAATCAAATATTTGTATGACTCACATTTTTCTGCAATTAAGAGAATACACAATTCTTTGCCCCTTCTGGCACTGGAAAATGCAAGCTGGCACACACTAATTCTTCTCATCATGGTAAATAATATTTTAGGTACGAGACTCATTGGCCTCATTCATTGGCATATTTTATTAACTTCTCCTTAAAGGCAGAGAAGCCTTCTCTTTTAAAATAAGAGATTACTTTTTTTTTTTTTTACCCTCGGTCTGGATGCCACAGATGAGTGGCACAATAGAAATTTCTAGTCTCGCCTTAGACAGGAAACCAGCTAGATGACCTTGCTCTTCTATAACTTTGCTTTCCAGGTGACAATGGCCATTGCACAAGCTCAGGAGAACAGTGGCAGGGATACCTGCTATGAATACCTAACTCTGAAGAATTTGGGTAAGTAGAGTGGGAAAGAGAGCTTGGAGGTCTTCCAAGTCCAACACCCTGCCCCAGGCAGGAGTCTTTACACAATCTCAGGTAAACTGTTATCCAATCTTTTATTGAAAACCTCCAGCGATGGAGCACTTGCAACATCAAAGAAACAGGGAGATTTTATTGCAACATGCATCTCAACACATTGACATCTGTGTTCTAGAGAACAGCTGCCTGGCCAGGCAGGACATACAGCTGCAGGAAGAATTCTCAGTAGTGCTTTTTGAGACCCTCTGTGACTGGGAAAAGGAGCTGAAGCGTCTCGGTGCAGCTGGCTGGCGAGTCAGCCCAGTCAATGAGCGCTTTGATATGTCTACCAGGTAAAGATCATTTTCAGGAGAATGGGAGGCGCTTGGCCACCAATAGCAAATGATGCATTGAGGGCATATGTGCTGATGGAGAAGTAACAATGGAAAGATGTGAAGCCAGGAAGAATGGGAGACAGAAGTTGTTGCTTAACCCAAGGAGCCTACATCTGGAAGCTCTTGCAGCAACGGTGAAAAGCTAGTTAGTGTTTGTTCTGTGTAGCCAGTTAACATATCCATTTGTCTCTTTTTTTAGTAGAATCTTCTTAAACCCCAGGTATTTTAAAAGTATGTAGTCAGATTCTAATGAATTGATATTTTAAGCTGTCTTGCTGCAGCAAGAATCAGGCATGGAATTAACTAAATAAGAGTGTAGCAGTAAATACGAGATTGTCCTTTCTGAACACATATATTAAAAATCTTTATTTGGGAACCTGGTTCCTTCCAGATGTGTTAGCCTAAGTCCTATCCTGCCCATACTAGCTGGGGATGGTGGAGTGTAACTAAAGGGTGCCAGGTTGCAGAGAAGTACTTTGTAAAGTTTGATTTCAAATGTATTTGTTTCCTTTTAACAGCCTTCCTAAATACTTGTGGGTCCCCAGTCGATTTCTGGACAATGAGCTGAAAAGAGCCTTTGTGCATTTCAACGAAAGACGAATACCAGTTGAGTATAAGACTGTGATTAGAGAGTGCTGTGCCATGCACAAGAACAAGAGGGCAAATGAGGGAGGGAGCCTTTCTGTTAAGCCACAAACAGAGGAGCAGTGGGAGGGGACATTTATTCCCCACAAAGGCTGAATATAGCATGATTCCAAGTTCCCACAACCTGAAAGACAAGATTAAAATGGAACCAGGTAATTAGTGATTCAGTATAATGAGGAAACTCACTTACTATATTAGTACATTGTGTGAATCATGCTAACATTAAACCACAATAGGGTTTATTTCTAAGAGCATAGCACATTCTATAAAAATTAAGACTTGTGCTTTTTAAACTTGCATTTAGCATCATATGGAAACCCAGTCTGTGAGCATGAAAGAGGAAATGTTTGCATGTTGGAATACCTGCCTAAATAACGTAAAACCATTTAGAAGAAAAAGAGGAAAGTCTGAATTTGAAGATCAGAAAAATCTTGCTTAGAACTCAAGTTTTTTCCTTCTGTTGTTATGACCAGAGGTTGTGCTGGCATCACCCAAGAGGCAGTGATCTTCTTAGAGCAGCTAACTTCCACACTAACTCAGATCCAGAGAAGGAAGATATAAGGTATATGCCAACAAGAGAAACTCATAGCTAACAGTAAGACATGGAATTTTATGCTCTTGAGAAACCACAACTGGTTGAAAGGCAGGGATGACGGGGAGGGGTGGGATGAATTATGCTAAAGACTGTGGGACAGCTGGAGAGGAGGTGAACTGCAGACACAAAGGATCCAGAATGATATAATCTCATCAGGTTTACAGAGCTGCATTTTCACACAGCCAAAGATCAAAAATCTGTAAAATTTTGGCAGTGTCAAAATTGTGCAGTACCTTAGACTCCTTTTTTCCCCCCAAGTCTCATTTTCTGGAGTATTACCTTCACCCTCCCTATTTCTCTCTGAAGGGCAATAGAAACGCTATTGTTTGCTGGACATTCTCAGTGTGTAATTGTAGAAGCAACTGCTGACCTTCCCAGCCTTCCCGAGATCCACCAGTCTTACTCCAAACTGTGGAACCTGAGCCTTTGCCTGACAGGTAAGCAGAATCAGAAGACAATTCTCCTTCTAAGAAGTGTGCCACACACACATTTTAGCACTAGCAAGGACAGACCAAGAGATCTCTCCACCCAATCATTAATTATGTGAGAATGCCTGCATAAGTGAATGAAAGATACAAGATGACAAGCGCTCTACTAACATCAAATCATTAAGCAATTTTGTCAGCAAGAAAATGGCATAAGCAACCAGATAGGTTTGAACATCAAAAACAGGTCTAATGCTAGAGACTCACATACTCAGTTACATTAATTTAAACATAAATACATTTAAGTCAGAAATTCAATTCAGACGCTAGGAAATCCAGAAATACCTATGTGGATAAGAGGTGATATATTGAGTTAAAGATCAGGAAATCGTTGGTTCAATACAAGACATGGCCTTAAGAAAGCTATTCTTACCTTCAATTCTCACCTAATTTGTGAGAATTTCCCACAAAATGTCAATAAAATTACTCCAAGCATGTTGGCATATTTTAAAATCTATGTGAAATATTTTAAACTTACAAACAATAATACATGGCATAGGGCCTGAGGAATCTCCCATGACATCCACCCAGTTGATTTGATCCTACAAGATTGGAATGCCCCAGGTTTCTTCAAATAAAGAATATAGTCCCTCAGGAGGAACCGAAAGGGCATCTTCTCCACCTTCCAGAATGAAGTCACCCCCAAGGGCCCCTTTCTGCCCTTCAAGAGCAGCCGTGAAGATCTGGCTCTTCACTTTATTGCAGTTGCCCTCTTTTACCTATTTTTTTTACTTTATTGATTTTATTTTTAGATCTATGATACAGCTGATTCTTTGGGTTTGGAAGCCTAGGATTCTATTCCTAGGCCTTTAATGAGCCTTCTATTATAAAAAAGTGTAAAATATCCCCACTTTTCACAAAACGTTGTTGTCAAATTTAACTTCAGTGATACTTCTTGTTTCTCCCAGATACATCTGTTGCACCATCTGATGAGAAATGGCTCTCAAGTCTGGAAAATACACGGTGGCTGGATCATGTACGGTAAGAGGTCTCAGACTTTTGGACGGGAACTAGCTATCCCGTAATTAACTCTCTCAATCACCGACTGATTAAAAAACAGGCTATTCCGGCTGGCCCCGGGCTGTTGAACTTACGATTGAGTTCCAGCCCCGATTAGACTGGGTGTATGTTGTGGTCTTTTTAACTATGTTTTTGTGTTTTTAACTTCTATTTTAAATGTATTGTTGTAAGCCGCCCGGAGTCCTTTGGGAATGGGCGGCCTATAAATTTATTAAACATCAAACCAATACATTAATTCAAGTAAGTATTCTATTTTCAAATGCAAAGCCTATACATACACGACAATTATGATGGGAAAGCTCTGGCTCTGTTTCTTGCTCTCTTTCAATGAAATAAGGAGGCCTGTCTCTCTTGAAAATTTAGAAGATTGTTTACAAAATGACTTTTAGCTTCCTTATGATTTGAGAACTATTTCTTGCAAGATGAATCCTCCTAATTACTTAATCTTGTGCTTTAAAGGCTGATTTTAGTTAAGAGAGGTAATTTTAGATTGGCCAAAGAACTGCTATGAAGAGACTGCAGGGAAAAACTTAATGTTTGATTCGCAACGCGGCTGTTTTTACATCATTTTTTTTTAAAGATCAATGTTAGCATGCAGATATGAAAATCTTTCAAATGATTTATATTAAATATGACTGGTTATTCAGTATATAAAAGAAATTGCCACACAAAGCGTATTCTTCAGAAAGACAGAAGGAGAATTAGCAAAGCAGGAAAGATTATATGAGACTTGTACCTTTTGCTTCCAACATCTTGAGAAGTGCTACCTTCCTCGTCTAGATTATGCTTGAAGAAAGCCAGTGAAGTGACTCTTCTGCTAACAGAGAGAAGTCGATCAATTGTTCTGCAAGGTAAAGTAAGTTCCTTGGTCCTTAATTCCATTTTCAAATAATTGCTTGACAATTGCTTGACCCTTGTTGCAAACTGTAATATAAGGGTTCACACAATAAACCATAATTTCAGAAATGATGCTACTTTTGAGAAAACACACTTCCCAACCCCGTTTGGTTCCTCTTACGAATAGGATGAGATACCTAGATGACTAGAGTCAAAGTGAATCTACAACAAAAAATATTCAAATAAGCTGAACAACCCCTCCCCCCCAGGCCTTTAGTAAAGCTGAAAACAAAACCTAGAGCTACAAAGCCTTTAGTGCTAAGGGAAACCCTTGTTCCCACGGTCATGGTACTGATTTGGGAACAGTGCCAAAATCTCACATGGAAGTAATACCTTCTATCAGATTTCACTGTATTATTTCTCTTTGTCCATAAGTTTTTAAACAGGATCTATGGCGTGTTTCCTATTACATCTTTGTGACTATTATAATTTTTGTCTTCTTTTCTATTTCTAGTAAATAAAATCCATTTATCTGCATATTAATAATTATGCAACAATACCATGGCTTACAAACTCTTCTTATCTGCTCCATTTCCTCCCAGAATCAGATGACAGAGGTTTGAATTGTTTGCTGGCTTCCCTAGTGCAAGTTCTTTCAGATCCCTATACAAGGACTATACATGGATTCCAGAGTCTGATCCAGAAAGAATGGGTAGCAGCTGGCCATCCTTTCCTGCAGCGTCTCAATGTACTCCAGAAAAATGACCAGGATGAGGTCAGATTCTTCTTTTAAGAGTTAGGATGAAATTGTGCCTTTAGCTATTTGAAATAAAATGTGTATATGTAAAATAAAATGAGAGTTGTTTTCGTGTAGTGGTTAAGGTGCTGGCCTAGAAACCAGGAAACCGAGTTCTAAGCCTCTCTTAGGCATGAAAGCCAGCGGAATGACTTTAGGCAGTCGGTCTCTTTCAGTCCTACCCACCTCACAGGACTGGTGGTGTAGGAAAAATAGGAGGCAGGAATATCAAGTATGTATTCAGCCTTCAGTGGACCAATCAATCAATAAAACAGAATAGAAATCTAATGAAAATAAATGAAATGGATTTGCAAGGAACCCAAAGAATGGAAGGGACAGTCCGAACCTCTTTCTGCCTTTAAAAAAACATGGTGTTACCATCCGCTATTAAGCATTCATTTTACTTTAAAATTCATCCTCATTTCAGAAAAAAATGTTACATACAAAAGAGATACGGATTAGAGGAGGAGGAGGAGGGGGAAATTGCTTCATTGTTTAATCTGTTGTAATTCTTTTTTTCTTTTTTTTAGTCACCGGTATTTTTCCTGTTCCTGGATTCTATATGGCAGCTGCTGCATCAGTTCCCACAATCTTTTGAGTTTACAGAGGCCTACTTGATGGCCATATATGATAGCTGCTTCATCCCATTTTCTAGTACTTTCCTATTCAACTGCCAGTGGGAACGAAGTCGAAAGAATCAGGTGAGCCAAGACTGGCATTATTTGTGAAAAATAACGGAGTTAAGATTGTTGTCCTAATTCCTTGAATATTAAAGTCTATGAAAATAGAGGAAACATGTGTTGGAAATGATTGGTTTCTCTTTCTTTGTATTCAGAATCATTTTCTCAATCAAATTTACACTCCTATCAATGGCTGGCAAGAAAATCTCTGCTTAGAAATCCTGCAAAAAGGAGGGTACCCTGTCAAGAATGTAGGGCACACGAATTTGTCTACAGTTTGGAACTGGCTACTCAGATCCAACCCCTGGCAAATAGCACAGTTCAGGAATCCCTGGTACAATGAGAACAACTTCAGCAATGGAGGCACCACTTTAAACAAAAAATTCCTATTCACAAATGGCGACAGGGTGCGTATTAATAAATGTAAGGTGCTATTTTTTAACCTTTGGCTTGCTAGATTCAAAGCCAACTATCTTTTCTACATTCTTTTTCCTCTAGATGGAAAACACTTCTTCAGAAAAATGGACCTTGTACGTTTTTTCAAAAGGGTCTCTCAGTTTGCAAACCCACATATTTCCTTGGAAAAATGGAACCCTCTCCAAAAAGAGTTTTCATCGTGTTCAGGCACTGGAGACTTCTAGAGAACAAGAAAGGTCTTGGAAGGCCAAATCTAATGACAGCTTCATTTATCATAACAATTTGCTGCTTCTCCCATCGCATTCAGGAACTTCAATACGTTTATGGAAAAGGTGTTATCTTCGGGGGAATCCAGAAGTTCAGGTACAAAAAAAAAATCCAATAGAAAAAAGTCTCAGCTGAAATAATAAATTGCCAAATATAGTTTTTGAAGTGTGTGTGTGTGTGTGCATGCGCGCGCTCGTGTGATGAAAATCTGTAAAAGCTTGTTCAGCATCTCATCTTTACTGCCTCGGTTCCAAACATTGCACTGTAATGAAAATTATTTTTCAAGTGGGCAGTGCTTTTAATTTGCATTGTTCCTAAATCATTTTAACCCATTCACTTGTATGCCAAAAGCAATTAAAATCTAAGCATGCACTAAGGTCAAAAGATCTTGCATGTTAAAAAATGTCAGGCGCATGTTGCAGGGATAATTTGTGTTCCCTTTCTTGCACTTGCACACGTCTTGGTGCCATCCACAATCTGCTCCAGACATGTATCTTCTCCTGCTATCCTCTGATTCAGCAGATGAGCCAATTTATTTCTGGTTCAGCCTTGATGTATATGAAAATTACTTATTAAAGGTTATACACTAATTACTCTTCTGATTCTGGTGAACTGGAGATATGGTAAAAGCGCCCATCCCATTTGAAACACTGAAGCTCCCAAGAGATTAGGGCAAAACATTGCTCTTGCATCATCCTACCTCCTGGCAAGATTTTTCTTAAGCAGTTCCCCCATAGAAACTGCTCCATGGGTAACAATTCCCTCACCCTCAAAAAAATGTTGGTGGGAGAGGAAATACTATCATCTTTTCCCTCTTGTATTTGGTTGGGATAAGGGGATTTTTTGTAGAAGTTAAGAACAAGACTTGCAGTATCCTCAATTGTGGAAAAGATTTTCTGTCTTATGAAATTTCAAACTGCAGAAAATTTAATTTTCTGATGCAACATTTGGATTAAAAGCATACTAAAAATCCTTCTTGTTAGATCCTTTTGGTGATAAATTTGTGTCCTGTATTGTTCAACACACACGTGGAGTATAAGCGCAAGAGCTAATTAAAAATAGCATGTATAGTAGCAGCAGAAACTATTTTGTAACTTGTGGGTTTAATATCAATGTATGTCATCCTTCAGGTTGGCCTCTTTGCTTCCAACATTGTTAAACTCACGGAAGAACTGGATCGTCTTCAAAAGCAGCTAACCTATTTGCAAGCAAGAGGAAGTTATAGTACAGCTCTGGAAAATGCGTAAGAAGGCTACAGCAGTTTATTAAAAATAGTTCATTCTTGTCCTCCCATGGATAATGAATGGGCTTCGTGAACGTTCATGGAAAACGTGAGCTATTGCTTCTCCTTCATATGATACCACCCACCACAAGCTGGGTTTTAGAAACTTCTTAAATGAGGCATTGTACTTTATATATTCCATGCATAGTTTTCTAAAATGAACATCCTTGCAAATGAACTAACGTTCTTATGCTGCAGAGACAATGACATGCTATATAATTACAGCCCTGGAATACAGAAAAGGATTAATAGGAACTTTTTTTTTAATTGCCTGCCTTCCTGCCTAAGAGGTAACCTGTAAATATATTAATAATTGTTAAGTAGCATCAAAAGCTGACTTATACATTCAGTAGACAGAAATCATCAACCCTGGAGCCACAGACTCAACATGCATGATACACTGTAGCACAAAAACATAATCCTTTTAGCTTCCCTCTTCTTATATCAAGCTTATTGTTTATTCACTCAATTTGTACTATCTGCTGTATGTATGTGTGTGTGTGTATATATATATGTACTGTATATGCAAGTTTTTGTGAGTGAAACCTTCCATATTTCTTTAAAGGCAAGAGTTTGTCATAACTTAAATTTTATATTATTTCATAAGCTTTGGTTTAGAAGCCTTAACAGCACAGGAAATTGCCAATTTTAAGGTAATGGCTTTTTAAATAAAATAAAAATCTCTGTAAACAGCATACACCCAAACTGTGGTCAAGGACATTTGTATATTTGATGAAATGGGGGTTGTTTTTCTCTTGGTCACAATGTTACAAGGAAAAAATTGGCTTGCCACAACCGACCTTTAGGCAAATTTTCCTTTGTACGTGTCAAACTGCAATCCAGAGTATATAGGATTCATGCCACCATTTCATACTCACTTCATTTGTTTGTCTGTGTGCTATATACACCTTTTACTATTTATTCTGCCTTTCTTCTCACCTAGACAGAAAAATAAAAGAAAGAGCAAAGCTTGTTTCACCCACCTTGGGCTAAATCATGATTTTCTGCCTGAAGTTGCCTTTCCTAACCAACGTTTGAAGCAACCGCAGAGCCTTCATCATCCCCTCTGCCAGTGGCTCTTCCTTGGCCAGATTGGCACAGAAACACACATTGAGCGCCCGGGGGGGGGGGGGGGGCTTGATTAAAAATTTTATACGGAGCAACAGACAACTTCATGTATGTTCATGAGAAGGTCT